TGCTTGTCGGCTCAAAGCGGCAGCCATGTAAATTTAAATGAAGCGGCGATTATTTAAATCGCCGCTTCATTTTACTCTGTCGGGTAGCCTAATCTACATGCCTCTGGCGACAGAGGCATGTAGTCTAGACGTACCCTCTGATTCCCCTTCCAAAGTGGTGATTTTTTTTGTTTTGTTAGAATGAAGGAAGTTGTGGGCACCTCCTCTGACCACTGCTACTCCTTTAGCCATTGGGTGGGGGTTCTGGCCTCCACATTTTCTCACAGATGTCACAGTTGTCTCCAAACGGGGAGAAATGAGACTTTGGAGTATTGCTTCCCCCACATCCACCTGCTGCTGCTTCCAGATGGGCAGGAGGCGGACTCCCTTTTTTACATTATTTTTGATCAGTTTAAATATACCTCTTGTTAATGCAATTTAATATCTCTTTGTTGTGTTATGAGCTAGGGAGAACAGTAGCTCTAAATCTTTCTTCTCCATATTACTTATTATTATAAATTTATATCATGTCATCTTTTATTAATCTCCTTTCTAAATGTATTTATTACAGACTTTCAGTCTTTTTTCACATAGGATTTTTACATGGCTCAAATAATTCTCATTTCCTTTCTCACAAGCAGTCATAATGTCAGTTTCATTGGAACATGCCATTGTTTAAAAATTGAGTAGATGGATATATAAAGGGTCATCTATTTAGGGATCAATTTTAATGATCAAACTAGATGTTGAATCATTGTAAAAATCCTTGCAGCTTACAAAGATGATGGTCCCACTGTTGACGCTGGTGATTTAAATTCTTATGAAATCAGAGCTTATTTTCTTCTGTGTTTGATGGCTTTTGAAATTATTGTGCAAATATTTTTCACATAGTATATTTAAATAAAAAGCGTTAGAATTAGATCTGGGATATTGATTTTGCTCCTGTTACAATGCTTAAAATTGGCATGGTTGTGTTGGCCTGAAACATTTATTTTCCATTGAGACATTGGGTGATATTTTTTTCCCATGAAAAAAAGTGTTTATAAGTAAAGTGGAACAAATTGAAGGACTACAAGTTGAAAATAGATAAGTTAAAATAATTTCAATCTATTTACATATATTTATATTGAAAACTGTTATAAGAGACAAAAATATGCACACAGCCTGATTTTCAAAGGTCTGGGGGCCCAGAGCTTATATGAAGTCCAAGGGATTTGTGAGTGCTCAGCACTTCTGATAATCAAGCTGTGAATTGTAGGCTAGTTTAATCTGAAAACTTCATTCGGTTTTTATCAAGTTGACTTTTTTAACTTTTTTATTTTTGCTATTTTTAAAAGGAATGGTCACACTCTTTTTGGCGTTCTAAATTATACTAAAACTCCAGGTGGAAGTCGAAGACTTAGGTCTAATATCCTGGAGCCTCTGGTTGATGCTGAAACAATTAACACAAGATTGGATTGTATTCAGGAACTACTCCAGGAGGAGGAACTCTTCTTTAGTCTTCAGGCAGGTAATAGCTTGTTTTATTTTTAAAACTCTACGAATACTCAATAACATATTTTGTTTTTTATAATTGCTGAAAATTCATAGAATGTATTAAAATCAATATGAAACATATTTTGACTTGTCAAGTTACATTTCATAGTGGATTTCAAAAATGCTATTTTCTACCAATAGTTCATAATCTGATAGTATTTAATGTGACTTTTTTACCTCTTACCTCTTTTTTTAATCATTTTGCTAAAATTTTTATCAAATGAGGCAGACCAGCCAATAGTACTTTAGAGGAATTTTGAACTGGTTCCACTATTTAACTAAGTGCATTTTGTGTTGGAGCCATGCTTTTCAGATATATATCAGTAATATCTGTAATCTAATTTGCATACTGTTACAAATATGTAGCTTCTAATTTTTGGCTTATAAGATACAGGGAAACAGTCACACGAACACACACACCTTGCTAAAGAGTACAGTTAGTTCAGCTAAGTTTGACATTAAATTTGGTAAATCTTTATTTCCTGGTTTTGGACAGCTTGTTGTGTTTTGGGCTAAATGAGCAATTACTTTTGGTCACATCAGAAACTCTTTCTAAGGCTTTCACAGCACAGAAGTGGATGACATATAGTTGTTAGAGTTACCCTTTTTAAGCTTGATATTGTACCAACAGAAAAGATGTGAATATATAAATATCACCAAATTTTGCAGGTCATTATTGTGGCTCAGACAGTATGTTTATCCTTTATGCTTGCACCGTAAACATTACAAATACACATTTTTAAAATGAAATGTTAGAAATAGTTACTGCATCACAACTACCTAAAATAGTGATGTGGCATTTTTCATTCTTTCTCTGTCTCCATCCTACCATAAACATTTCTTGAGATTTATATCCAATCCATTAAGAAGAAAGGAGGCAAAGTGTATATCACAATTGGTACAAAAACACCAGGCTGCTCACTTTGTGCTTAGTATTTTTTGCTTCCTTTCCCCTGAAATCATGGAGGATAGTTCTCCAGTTTTAACTTCATTTACGCCCACCAATTGCTGTTTCCTCTAATCTTTTCCATCCATATGCAGAATAAATTTGTACATGTACAAGACACCTATGAATATGCACCACTGATAAAAACAAAAAAACTAGCAGTGGGCCCTCTGCTAATCCGCTTGGTGGCATTTCAGTCTCTCCTGAATGGCTGCACAAGCACACAGCGTATAGGGAACACCACCATCAACCCCATTTCAGTATATCAGGAATATGCATGTGAAGATGCGGCTGAGGAAACTGTGCTTTGGCAGTTGTAGCTCAAAGATAGTGAAGTAGGTAGGGGAAGTGGATATAGTATATGCTTCCCCAGAACACTATTTGTCAACTATTGTCTCTTGGTTTTGTTATTGATCAGCTCTTTAATTTGTGGGGAGCAGTTGCTTTGTCCGACTATCCTAAAAGATAGCTGGGCCTGTCCTATTCATGGGATAGTTCAAGACAAACACCCCACGGTTGGGGTGAGGGAGTGTGGGGTGCAGGTACAGGATGGCCCGGGGACGAGATGGGACTGGTACCTGCAGCAGGGGAAGAGCCTGCCACCCTCCCACCCTCACTCACCAGTAGAAGTAGGAAATGGAGCAACCCATCCCCAGCCTACTCTGCTCCCCTGGCTTCCAGTTGCCAGGGAGGGGGCTTGGTGAAAGGTGTGGATCCACCCCCCACACTCACCAGTGGAAAGAAGTGACATGGCTGGTAGTTGGCGGAGACGAGCAGGCTGGGACTGAGTTGCTCCACTTCCTGCCATCAATGAATGTGGGGATGGGCGTGATTCCTACTGTCAGCACCAGGCCTTGCGCTAATCCCCTAGACCGCGTTGGTTGGGGGGCAGGATTGGATGGAAGTGGTGGAATGGGGTCAGGGTGGGACAGAGCAGAAGCGGGAAGTGGCAGGGTGGGGACAAGGCCTGGGGTTGATGGGAAGTTGTTTTGGTCCCTGTTCCCTCCTATCAATAGCCCTGAGGACAAGAACAATTTGATATGGGTTTAATCAGGCTGCAACTTTGTTATTAGATGTTTGGAATTACCTGTGAGATAACATTGTACAGTGTAGGTAAACTCTATGTTAATTTCATAATCGCCTAGCACGCTTTTACCCGTTCTCCCTCTTTTTTCATCCAAATCCTTCTAGCAAATCCATTGCCAGGATCTTAAAATTCATTTCTTTTATAGAAGGGTTAAGGATGGTAGGCTATAAGAATGGCAAAGTTGGCTACCTGATATACCAATCATAGCAGTCCCCAACCTCCTCCCCCATTTGTTCCTTTAATAAACACCTCTTTCTGAGTCTTTTTCCAAACCATTTGTCTGGTCACTGTCTATCTTTCCTGTTGTTTATCTGCACTGGACATCTGCCACAAGGAAGTGCATGTAAAAAGGAAGCTTCAGGTGAAGGGTTGCCTCTTATAAACTCTACATTTCTAGGGAATGAGTCAGCAACCTTTCATCTCCCAACCCCTAGCCATAAAGTACTGTTCCCTTCATTTGACCAACAAGCCAAAGACTCTGTAGCTTAAAGATACAGGGCAGTCATTCTTTTTTACTCACCTGCATATCCCAGGCTGCAGTTTGCCTGCTGATTTACTTTAGTGCTGCATCAGGCAACCATTCTTCCACTCTCCCCATTCTCAGCAGTATTAACAGAATTCTTATCGTGCAGAAGAATTTGAGAGCACTTTTCAGTCTTAATAAGCACAACTATGCAATAAGAAAGAAATACTTAGTATAATTTAAGTAACTACGGAGGAAGTTAAACAGCAACTATTAAATTTAAAGAGTTAAAGATTTTTAAATTGTGAAGCCTGGATAAATTACACCCAGGAATATTAAAAGAACAGGCCAAGGAACTCTCAGAAATCATTGATGTTGGTTTTTAACTAATCTTATAACATGGAGAAGTTCTAGAGGATTGGAAAAAACCACCATTTACTAATATTTCAATATTTATAGAGAGTTCTTTTGTCTGCTTTCTTTCTGGTAATTGAAGCTGCAATACTTTGTCAAGTTTTTTCTGTGATAGGGTAAGGGAAGAAAATGGCTTCACAAACTGAAGTACTAAGTAATTTTCTGTGCCTGTTTTCTTTTGGAAATTTAAACAATTTATTTGTTGAAGATTTGTTATTGAAATTATAGCAAGTTTCAGTTTAATTTCTAATTTGTGTTTAATTTTGTTTTACAGTGATTTCAAAATTCCTGGATACTGAACAACTTCTTTCAGTTCTAGTACAAATTCCAAAGCAAGATACGGTAGGTTTATAATTGTATTTATCTCAAAATAATAATAATAATCAGTTACCTTGAGGAGGAAACAAGGCACTGTGACCATTGTGGAGAATGAATAGAAAAAGTGACTTATTTTTTCACAAATACCACTGTAGTTTTAAAATCTGCATCCTTTTACTTATTCATGTCCCATATCAACATTATTGGAGAGTAGAAGAGAGAAGCATGGAAGGGAAAATATACCTTCTTAACGTTAAATGTTGTATAATAGAAATAATTTTATTTTGCAATATACTCACGGTTTTTAATTGATTACTCACTTAACCTTGTGTTGTCTGTTAGCTAGCCTTAGACTTTTCTTATGCAATATAAAGCAGTGGAAATTATCCCTTATAAATGGTCTGCAAAAATGTATTAAAAATAAATCTCTTTTAGTTTTAGTAACTAAATAAAACTCCCAAACCTCTGAAGCCAGTTGTTAGAATATTGTTCCTTTGGGTGCCAAACACAGGCTTTTACGCTAAAGCCAAGTGAAAGTCACTTACAACTGGGAAGTTCTCTTTCAGCAACCATCAGGGTACAAACTATTCATACACACAACATAGACAGCACAATTAGATGCATCAATTATTACTATTTGTTATATTACAACTCATTTTCTTCAAATATAACACGGGGGATTAAAATAAATTGAAAATTTGAAATAGCCATTCATAGCAAGCTGCTTTAGAGATAGAAGGATACAAAGAATATTTAAACAGATGTCAACATCACAGATCAGAGTAATTTCTTTTTCGAGTGATGTCCCTGTGGGTGTTCCACAGTTGGTGTCAGGCTCATTCTAGTGCCTCAGATCGGAGTCTTTTTCTAGCAGTATCTAGTTAGGCCATGCATGCACAAAAGGGGCGCATGCTGTTCATGCCTTAGGAGTTAGTGCATACAGCTCGATTTCCCTCAGTTCCTTCTTGACTACCTTTGGTTCCAGATGGACCTCGATCCCTCTCCTTCTCTTCAGTTGTCTGTAAATAGGAATTGAATTATAATTTGTAAAAAATGTTTGGTTCTTCTTCAAGTGATGTCCACATGGGTGCTCCATTGTTGGTGTCAGGCTTATCCTGGTGCCACGGATCGGAGACTTTTATAGCAGTGTCCCGTCGGGCTGCACATGTGCGAGAGGTGCGTGGTGTTCCCACCTTTGAAGTTAGCGCACGCAGCCTGACTCCTCTCAGTTCCTTCTTTACTGCCCTTGGCTATAGATGGAGCTCCAAACACTCTCTTCCAACCACTCTCCTCCTTGAGCTTGAGTTACTTCCACACTGCAGTCATGTTCTTTCGAAAGTAAATTGAAAGAACAGAGGTTTTTTTTCCAACAGCAGTACTCCTCTTTCTATGAGGAAAAACGCCTTTTCCAAAAGAGCTCTTTCGGAAAAGGCATGCGTGGATGGGGTGGAGGGTTTTCTTTAGAAAGAAAAGGTCTCCAGCAAATAACACAGGTGCCCTGGTGGATACTCCGTCCATATTAATCACAACTCTATAGTTCCTGTCTCCTTCCAGTTCTTGAAGCTGCAGGCACCCAGGACAAGCCTTGTGGCAGGAAGCCATCCCAGAGAGCTTCACCTGACCGTGCAGCTCTCCCTGCTGTACAACTTGGAGGTGTGGCCAAGCAACAACCACCCCAAGACCCCACTAGCCCTCACAGAGAGCAGCCCCAGGGCTCCCAGGACCCACCCAGGGGCAGCAAATGCCGTGCGCCCTCCTGGTCCAGGGCAGAGATCCTGTCCCTCCTGGAGCTGTAGGGGGAGGAGGCCACCCTGCAGGATCCCCACTCCCAGAGGTGGAATGCTGACATTTATGGCTGGATGGCCAAGGCTCTAGCCAAGAGGGGATACCACCCCTGCATCTTGGACCAAGTCAGGAGCAAGGTCAAGGAGCAGCGCCAAGGAAACGCCAGGGCCAGGGAGTGCAGCTCTCGCTCTGGGTAAGGACCACACTGGTGCCCATATTATGAGGAGTAGCACAGAATCCTGGGGGGTGGTGAAGCCCTTTACCCACACGTAATGTTGGACTCGGGACTTGAGACGCCTGTGGTCGCTTGGCTGGAGCTCCTTGATAAGGAGGAGGACAAACAGCAGCTGCAGGAGGAGGAAGATACAGCCAGCACAGGACTATGTATCACTTTAAAGACTAACAAGATGGTTTATTAGATGATGAGCTTTCGTGGGCCAGACCCACTTCCTCAGATCAAAAGAAGTGGGTCTGGCCCACGAAAGCTCATCATCTAATAAACCATCTTGTTAGTCTTTAAAGTGATACATAGTCCTGTATTTTGCTTCAGCTACACCAGACTAACACGGCTACATTTCTATTACTATTCTACAGCCAGTACAGTAATCCTCATCCTGGAGCCAGTACCCCAAGATTCTGTGCTGTGATATTGTAAACTTACCTGTTCCTATTAGTTTTTCTTCTGTTAAACAGTTAATAGTTAAAAAAAACAGAACTGTTCTTTTACTTCAGCTTGTGTATAGCTAGTCGAATAACAACTTACTACCGTGCAGTGGCAAGTTGTGGTGAGCTACAAACTGCTCCTCCCTTCTCCCCCGAAAAAAGAGAGCTTTTACTTATAAATAAGTCACAGCAGCACCAGACAAATTGCTGGGCTCTCCCAGCTTCAAAAACTGTGAGAAATACCAGGACTCTGTCAGCCTTAGTGAATGCATATGCTGTCTGGGAGAGACGCATGCTTCACAAAAATGCGTTCATTGTCACAATTTGACAGCAAGAGCTCACAAGAGTAGAGAGTTCAGAATGCACTTGCTGTCCTTTGATAAAGCCCTAGACCCCCATCCGCATAATGGGGGCAATAAGGACTTGGACACAACTTCCATTCTGGGGAACCTCTTAGGCCCTTCACTGCAAAAAGTGCTTTAAAAAATGAAGCCCACTCCCTCCCATCACTAATTAGTAAGGTAACTGAACCAGGCACCTTGGGCATTGAAAAATCACAAGCCTCCTCACTAACAGGCTAAATAATGCGCTCTAAACAGTCTGTGAAACCGACTTCCCAGCCATCATAAAGGGCACCTACTAAGGCCCCCAAATCAACAAAGGCACTGCCTGCACCCATGGTGCCAACGGCTCTAGTGCTATCACTGGCACCCTGCGAGCCTCCAGCACGGCTTTCATCTCCGGCGCCAAGAAAAGATAGGACAAATTCCAACTGCCCTCTCATGGTGCATACTAACCCCAGATCTCCCAGGGTTCCAGTGGCACCAAAGCCTCCACTGCCAGCACCAACAGACTTGGCACCATGGTGGAAAGCATCAAGCTGCCACAGTTCCCGAATATGCAGCAAAACACATGCTCCATCAATAACTGACAAGAGAATGAGAACCAGATCCCTGGGTGAGTCAACACGGCACTGCTCTTGCTCCTCCTTATCAATGAGAGGCTCTCCGCCCTCCCCACGCTCACCTACTTTATCACAACTCAGTGCCTACCAGGGGGATACAAGGAGTGTGTTCTCACAACACTCATCCCCAGAGAGAGCACATGCATCATATGGGACAGACAGGCTACGACACTATTAATACACCCCATGGCACCCGGACTGGCATTACTATCCTCAGTATCATAGCTGCTGGTCCCCCTATTGTTATTGGGCACCACAACACAATTCCACTGCCCCTCCCACACCCAAATGAGATCACTGTCTTCTACATACTCTGATCCATCACACTCTACAACAGAGAGCATGGACTCTGAGGAAGAGCAGATTGAGGATGAGCCAATCGTCCAACAATCAGACACGTCACCAAATGACAACTTGTTTTCTGGACTTGATGAAGCGGTTATCCCATATGATTCCTTCCCTAGTGATGACCTAAAACAATTTTAGGATTTATTCAAAAGAGTGGCTGTCGGTCAGGAGGTTGTGCTATCAGAAGTACAGGAAAAGCTGCATATGCTTTTAAAGAACCTCTACCCTCTACAAAGTCCAAAATTGCACTGCCTCTAGTCGAGACAATACTTGAAGCAGCGGACAAAGTATGGCAAGTGTGAGCCACAGCCCCCTCAACCAACGAAAGAGCTGATAGAAAATACTTTGTTACATCAAAAGGCCTGGACTTTTTATTCTTACACCTTCATCCCAATTCCTTAGTGGTTGATGCTGCAAATCAAAGGCCTAAAAATCATCAATACAAAACAAATATACAAGATACAGACCACAAACACCTAGAGTTGTTTGGGAGGAAAATGTGCTCCTCTTCAGCCCTTCAACTTCACATAGCTAACTACACAGCCCTACTCGCTAATCACGACTTTGACAATTATGCAAAACTATGATAAGAGACCTATCCTCAAAGCCATTTCTAAAGTGGTTTACTATACCTTGTACAGCCCTGCAGATGGCCCTTAATGTCGCCAACACCATGGCAAAAGCTATGGCAATATCCATAATAATGAGATGCTTATCCCGGCTTCAAGCAGTTGAAGTTCCTAAGGACCTCCAGGCCAGGGTAGAAGACCTGCCATTCGACAAGGACAGATCATTTGCTCCAAAGACTGATGAAGCTTTGCATTCTAGCAAAGATTCATGCACCACTTTATGCACATTAGGGATGTATACTCCCCCCTACCAACGGAAACTCTATACATCCTACCAAAGACACAGGGACACAACTTTTGGCAGACAGAAGCAGCATCCACCATTTGACCAAATATCAGAGGGGTAGCCGTGTTAGTCTGAATCTGCAAAAGCGGCGAGGAGTCCTGTGGCACCTTCAGTTAGTCTATAAGGTGCCACAGGACTCCTCACCGCAATCCCCAAACAATACCAACGGAGAGGTTTCTACTCAAACTACTTTCTCACTGAAAAGAGAACAGGGGGTTGCAGCCCTCAGCCTCCAAGATGCATACTTTCATATCACCTGAAACAGCAAAATGTATCTCTTTCATCACTCCGAGTTCACCTCGCCAGGCGAGTCCAACATATGCCCTTTTTACAATCAAGGGGCAGCAATCACCATAGATCGGTGGGTTTTAAAAATTATCAGCTGCGGGTACTCTATTCCTTTTATATAGATCCCCACAACCTCCTCACCCTTTCCCTCCCCTTTCAGGGACCCTTCTCATGCGACCTTGCTCTGCAAAGAAGTTTAACACCTTCTCAACATAGAAGCTGTAGAACGGATCCCCAAACAATACCAACGGAGAGGTTTCTACTCAAACTACTTTCTCACTGAAAAGAGAACAGGGGGTTGCAGCCCTCAGCCTCCAAGATGCATACTTTCATATCACCTGAAACAGCAAAATGTATCTCTTTCATCACTCCGAGTTCACCTGGCTGCGATCATAACCTTTCATCCCTCTGATAGATGGATTCTCCATATTTTCCCACTCCATCTCTAAGGCTGTGTCTAGACTGTAGGTTTTTTTAGAAAAAAGTAGACTTTTTTCGAAAAAACTTCACCTGCGTCTAGACTACAGCCACGTTCTTTCAAAATTAAATTGAAAGAACGCAGCTTTTCTTTCGACGGTGGTACTCCTCATTTCATGAGGAATAATACCTTTTTTCAAAAGTGCTCTTTCGAAAAAAGGTGCTATGTAATGCAAACTGTGCTTTTTCGAAAGAGAGCATCCAGACTGCCTGGGTGCTCTCTTTCGAAAAAGTGGTTTGCTTTTTCGAAAGTACTGGTTGCAGTCTAGATGCTCTTTTTCAAAGAGGCTTGCAGTCTAGACGTAGCCTAAGAGGTTTTGGAGGGGTCTACAGAGCCTTCACCTACCACATACACCTGTACCTTGCACGTGGGATTTAGAACTGGTCCTCCACTTGCTCACAAAGCTACCGTTCAAGCCAATGGCAACTTCATCACTTAACTTTTTTATCACGAAAACATGGTTCCTGCTGGCAATCACTTCTGCAAAGAGGGTTAGTGAATTCCCAGCTCTCACAACCTCACCTCCATACACAACCTTTCATAAACATAGTTATTCTACAACCTCATCCCTCCTTCTTACCCAAAGTTTGTTCTGAATTTCATATCAATGAATCAATAGTCCTTCCCACTTTCTACCTGAAACTGCATTGCTCAAGGGATGAAGCCTTATCGCGCACATTGGATGTGAGGAGGGCCATTGTCTTAGACAGGACATGGTCTTTTTGACTATCACAGAGACTGCTTACATGTATAACCAAAAGGCCCAAGGGAAAACCACTTTCTTCCCAGCGCATATAAAAATTGATAACATACTGTGTTACCACCTGCTACTCATTCTAGAATAGAGTATTCCTGACAACTCCCAAAGCCCATTCCACCAGAGCAATGGCAACGTCAACTGCCTTCCTCAGGGGAGTGTTGCTCCATGAAATACATTGAGCAGCCACCTGGTCATCTAATCACATGTTCATGAAACACTATGCAATTTCACCATGCTCAACAACGGACACCGCAATAGCTACTGCGGTCTTCTCCATGGCCTACAACAACTAGCTGAAGCCCACGTCCCATCTAATTGGTTACTGCTGCGCAGTCACCAACGGCGGAGCACCTACGGGGACATCACTTGAAGAAGAGAAGTTACTTGCTCTGTGTAGCAACAATGGTTCTTTGAGATATGTGTCCTCATGGGTGTTCCACTACCTGTCCTCCTCCCTGTTTCTTTGGGTATTGACAACTTGCTAGGAGGGCATCAAAGAAGAAACAGAGAGGAGTCGGGCTGCACATGCTAACTTCAAAGGTGGGAACAACATGCACCACTCATGCATGCATAGCCCTACTGGACACTGCTGTAAAAGTCTCTGATCCATGGCGCCAGGACAAGCCCAACATCAACATTGGAGCACTCCTGGAGACACACATCTCGAAGAACCATCGTTACTGCACAGAGTGAATAACTTCTCTTTCTTGTTATTATAGTTAGTAATATTTGTTGTAAATAGTTAAGGCCCAGCCCTCAGGCCTCTATTTTGTTAAAAAAAAAAAAAAAGAGAGAGAAGAAAATCACCTTAGTTTAAAAAAAAAAAAGAGAGAGAGAAAGAAAGAGTGGTAACAGCAAAATGACAGGCTTCCCCAGATTTAAAAAATGTGATAAGTGCTGTGACCTTATGCCTGCTTCAGATGGCCACGGGTCTTGTATTCATTGCCTGGAGGAAGTGTGTGCATTGCCGTAGCCTCACAGCCACACTCCAGTTGACAGATTCTTCATATTTGCTCCCCCTATTTCAAAGAAATTCCTTAAAGGGCTACATAATCTTAATCAGGAAAGTGCTTAAGTAACAATACAGCTGCCTAGCCTAAATTGATAACAAAAGAATTATTCAGCATACTTAAAATATGGCCAGTACACCACAATTTTCCTGAGTGTTTTTGGATGCTAATTTAGACACACACACACCCCAAAAAAGAAGGAGAAGTTTTTCTTTGTATTCTTATCTGTGTGCCTATTTTATATGTTAAATAATAAAAACACCATGTTATAATGTTACTAACAGGTTTAAAATAACAAAGCTGTTGAATTATGCCTTTTCCCCCTTAAAAGCAAGACACTCCAGTAAGTGGTAATTGGGGTGAGGGTGGGGAATTATGGCTATTGGAACAGCTACTATGGCTTACTTTCTGCTTGCTAAGGTGATCCAAGACAATCAGATTTCTTCATCTTAAGGAGTATTTCTGTAAAGTACCCACTAACACTTCCATTGCACTAAGATACTTTCTGGACTGATTGCCAAGCTTCATTCTAAGAAGATAATTTAGTAACCTATAAAGGGATTTAGTTGAGTCCCATAAGCACATTTTTCTGTTTAAGACATTTCAGAATTTTTTGAAAGAAAAATTGAAAAATTCTTAAACTCTTAAATTTTGAGAACTTTAAAAATGAGATTGGGGTTCTGTTCCAACAATTTGTAGAATTATTATTTTAAAAGTAAAATAAGACTTTTTAGTAGATTTGTATAATTGAAGTTTTCATAAAATTGAAAGAAAATTACAGTTTACTATTTCCCAGCCAGGAACCTTCACTCTCATTTATATTTTTTATGAATTTTACTTTCAAACAAATAAAAGGGAAGAGTTTCCTTTGTGCCCTTGAAAATCTGCCCTACCTTCTACATAGTATTTTTCCATTTTTCAAATCTAAAGTTTTCTTCAATTTCATTTTCAGAAGCCTTCGAACTTCCAACATTGATTTAAATGCTCCACACAAAAATAAGATTTTTTTTCTCTTTATAAGGCAGCATTATTCGTACACCATAGCAGATATTCTGCTCTGTGCAAAAAAACATATATTTTAGACTTCTTGTCAGATGAAGAACTCTTTTGAAAATATTCTATTGTAATTTTAGTTTTCTCAAAATTCACTTGTTTTAAAAAAAACGCAAAATTGCAAAATGTATAGCTGATCATTAGTCATGAATTTTCCTAAATTATTTAATAGTCCATGAAAAGTACTTTGGAATATCTGTGTAAAATGCTTGCTTGTTTTAAAATACTGTATTTTAAAATACATTTCTACTGTATTTGTAAAAATTTTTCAATAGATTAAAGCTGCTGAATCAAAGATAACTAATTTAATCTATCTGAAGCATACCCTGGAACTTGTGGATCCTCTAAAGGTGAAATATATTATGTTATTTATCTATATAAAACCCAAACTACAGGTTGGACCTCCCTGTTCCGGCATTGTTGGGACCTGACCTGTCCTGAACAAAAGAAATTGCTGGACCAGGGGAGGTCTCCTGTCACTGGCCTCCAAGCTGTCAAGCTGCCCTGGCAGGCTCCCATACCTTGTCCTCGCCCCTCAATCTGACTGGGCTGCTTGCTCAGCTACTGCTGGCTCTGGCTGGGGCTCCAGTCCCGTGCAGCTGGTAGCAGCCATGGGGCTGTGGCTCTGGCCCCATGCAGCCAGGAGTAGCAGCCAGGAGCAGCTACAGGGCTAGGGCTCTAGCCCTGCTATGCAGCCGGGGGAAGTCATGAGGCTCCACTCCCAGACCCAGATGGGCCCAGCCTTAGCCCCGTGCAGCTGGGAGAAGCCACGGGGCTTCGACTCCAGTTCCACACTCCTGCAGGTTGCAGTGAGGGCTATGGCCCCTGCGCTTCTGGGGGCTGTTGGAGTCTGCTGTGGGGCTCTGGCCTCAGTCCTGTACTGCCCCCAGCCAGGCTGCTGATCCTGATGTCCCATCCGACTAGTCTTCCTGTCCTTTGGATCCCGGATTCTCCGGTCCAGGAGCATCCATGTCAGACCATGAATGTTGCCAGACCAGAGAGTGCCAGAGTTTGGAAGTACATCCTGTAGTTAATCTTTGATGTCACACTCTACAGTTCCTTATATTTTCTTTATCTCATGGAATTAAACATTATCACGGTAGTAATATTGTCTAATAATTATACAAAGGCCTCTAAATATATGCTGGTTAAAAAACATACTTGAGTTTCTAATACTGTAGGAACTGGATTGTGAATGCATGGTAAAAGCTTAATTTTATAATGATTATTTATCTTAAGTGTATGCCAGCCCAACTTGTAAGTTCTCTATACCACTACACACAAGTCTGGGTGAATCTAAAGGCATTTCAGACTGTTAAAATGATTTGAATTTAATCTATAACTATATTTTCATTTTCAATAGGCTGCTTTGAGAAGCTGCAAGACACCTCTGTTCAAGGCATACTACAATTCTCTGGAAGATAAAAGGTACTGTGATTATATTTTCTTAGCTAGAATTTCCGATTGTCTTCTCTTTTCTGAGGATGTCTGTAGGATTGTCAAGTGATGCTTCTTTAATTATTTATAGGGATAGGTCCTGTTTTTTGTGGTGTTCTCAGAAATTCTTAAGGGTACTTATTCTTCATGAAGTTTTTAGAAATTCAGTGTTTCAACTACTGCAGGAATAATTAAAAAAATATAAACAGAAAATTGGTTTTAACAATAGTTTGGTTATGAATGACAAACACAATTTAAGTTCTTACAAAAATAAATGCTCCAGTAGATATTATTGTAAAAGAAAAAAAGAATTTGAGACTACTTTGATTTCTGGGAATCACTCAAAATGACTGAGGATGAGTAGCTGTTACCTATACCTAAGCAGTGTGCAATATCTCCTGTTCTGTAAGATATTCAGTGATTTAGATCAAAGCTAGCAGTGTTGCTATGGTGTTCTGAGGTTAAAAAAAATCACGTAAGTTTTTAATGTTTACTTTGAACTAATGAGGTTTTTTGGCTTCAGTGATTGTTATTTATAATTGAAGATAATGTTGACAATGAAGTTAAAAATATGACCTAGCTTATTTCATTACTGATATAACTACTGTTGTAGGTTTGGAATCATACTTGAAAAGATTAAAACTGTCATTAATGATGATACAAGATACACAAAAGGATGCCTGAATATGAGGACTCAGAAGTGCTACGCAGTGAGGCCAAACATCAATGAATTCCTTGATATAGCTCGTAGAACATACACAGAGATTGTAGATGACATAGCAGGTATTTCATGCTTACTGACTAATAAAAATATATTGCACCTGTTACACAGAACCATAAAATAGTACAATAATATAAAGTGCTTATTTTCTAATGATGATAGGGAAAGTATTTTTATTGTAATTTGATTTTGTCATTGATTTAAAAAACTGGAAGTATATTTTAAATTAGGGTTCCATCTAGGTTTTCCAAGACACAACCTCTTTTTGGTCCTCCAACCTCTGTCCTGGCAGATTTTTGAAATGTGAAAAATGTCTGTGATTATTCCTTGCTCATCCTTTTTCCAGCCTCAGTTCTGATATAACTTCAATTCCCTGTGTGCCCTCATCGAGGTATCTGTGTTTACTGGAGAGGCTGAACAGATGTTGCTGATCAGAAAGAGCCTTCTGTCATCTGGACACAACTGCGGCATTGAACATGCCGACAGAACTACACAGTTAATAGGGTGGATGTAAAAAGAGACATTTAAATATGATTTACATTTATTTTTTAGAACATTTGTTATTTATAATTTTAGATATTCAAAGTAGAGAGAAACCGTACAGTAAAAACTGTATTTCTCTCCTCCTTCTGTTCTTCCTTCTCTGCAGCAGTGTCATCTGTTTGGGAACTTTAAATATGGTAACTCTAAAATGTACATTGAGAATTTCCATTTATAGAGAAAAACCGTAATGAAAATGAAATGACAAAAAAATATTTTGTGATTTTAAAAAGTAAAAAGATTGTTTCACTTATTATGCCACATATTCATCAAATACACTGTAATCTTTCCATTTAAAACCGACACAACTAATTCAGTCCAAAGTGTTCAAATAATATTTCAAATACAGTTTTGTGGTACAAACATAAATACTTTGTTTTTAATATTTTAACAGGTTTGAGTGTGTGGGTTATGATTTAACAGTGCTATTAAGAGTTGTGCGAAACTACTTTCTTGATATTATTTTAAAGCCAAAATGAATCAAAGCGATTTTAGAAGAATGCCTTTATTCTTTGAGTGTAGTATGAAGGGTAGGCTTTTCAATTGGCCCCCACAGCTTATGGTTCCTTTTCATGGGTAAATTTAAATGTTTATTATTGCAGTTAGCTAATTATAATTTCTAAACCTTTTAGTACAGGGGTTTGAGAATTTCCTGAAGTTGCTTGGCAGCCCTTTCCTGCTTCAGCGGGCTGCTCTGTGTGTGTTTTTCCAGCTAAAATGCCTAGGGCCAGTATGGCTTGATGGTTGGCAGGTATTCCTTCCTTCAGAATTTGGAGGAACACTTCCCACAAGCTGTGAAGTCTATTTCAAAACTCAGTGTTTTACATCCTCCTTATTTACTACCTCTGATCCGTTACTTAAAGCTACCCATTCCAACCATACTGTGGGGAGCTCTCCTGCATTACGCTGCATGTCCTCCTAAAGGGCTTTTAATTTGGTCCAGGATCAGGTGCATAGAACTGTGACCTGGTTAGTAAGTCCGGTTGCTGCATCATAAGTTGTTTTTGTAACGGCTGCTGGGAACACTTCCACTTCTTCTTCGAGTGATGTCCCCGTGGGTGCTCCACTACAGGTGTCGGGCTCGTCCCGGCGCCGCAAACCGGAAAGTTTTGCTAGCAGTAGCCCCCTCCGGAGGACTGCGCATGTGCAGAGCGTCCCATGGCGTTCGCGCCTTTTCTGCGTCGCGCGGTCCGATCCGCCAGTTCCTCCTAACCGTCCACGGCCACAGACGGATTTGGAACACGCTCCTCTCCTGAGGAGAAATCGCATTGATATATTTAGATATTCTTTCCCAGTTAGCCCCTTCCTACTTAGTGTTAGTCACTTATTGCTTAGATTAGTTAGTTAGTACAGGCAGTCCCCGACTTACGCGGATCCGACTTACGTTGGATCCGCACTTACGAATGGGGCTTTCTCGCCCCGGAGGTCGGGGTGAGAAAGCCCCGTTCGTAAGCTGCTCCGGTGCCCCTGGTCTGCTGGAGACCGTCTCCAGCAGACCAGGGGC